TTTTTCAGTTCGATAAGTCATCTTGTTTTGTGATGGAACAAGGACATGGTTTTAATTGCCCCAAAACAAAAATATCTTACGAGGATTACGATAGCTCTTTAGCTAACACAACAAGCAATACGCGCAATACGTACGGGTTACCTGTTGTTTAGCCAATGAGCTATTGACCATGTCTAGTAATCAATCGTAAGGCAGCGTTCAGACTTCGCGACGGCAGCGCTTCGGTCGCGCGTTCGACGCGATCGATGCAGTCGAAAGCATGCGCATCGATCGTTTCAAACGCGCGACTCAAGCGCTGCCGTCGCGAAGTCTGAACGCTGCCTAAGCGCTATGAGAAATAGGACGAGAGTAACGGCGTCAGATCATGTTTGGGGATGGCGCGAGCTCATTTCATGTGGTATAAGAAGCTTCCATACATAGTTCAAATCATATACAAATCACGACGGTGCATCAGTGGTGCGGTCTTGTCATGAAATATCTGGTCTACCGGAAAAGGGTGCAATGTCGAAAATGCGGCGTCGCGTAGGGAATCGGCATACAGAGTCGCGGGGGCAGCGAGTACCTACTTCAAATGAAAGACGACCACTTTATAAGAAGAGAAGTTCCTGAAATTGGAGATTTTTTCCAAGTTTCTCCATTATATTTTCCACTAGTTGAGTAATGTCTCTGTCTTAAAAATTATGGAACAATCTAACATCTAGCCGACTCCTTCTTATCCTCTGTAGCTGAGCCAATCTCAAGCACACCAGTTGATATGACGATAGGTCCGAAATGCTCTCGGAAGCACATTGTGTGAATCTTGCACTTTGTAAGTCTGTGTAATGAGGTCGGGAACGGTAAAGTCATTATGGCTAAGTTATCCAACGTCTTGATAATCTCTGTCAAAAGAGAAGGGAGTGCTTTAATTGAATACTCGCTCTGGCACCGACTTTGCTCTTGAGTTTATCTTTCTCGGACACCTTCAGATACTTGGAGATTTGAAGACAGTACCCTTTTGTTTCCTTTTTTGTATCATTTTTGGATCAAAGCAGCACGTGGACACAAACTAAATTCCTGCCAGAGACTACTTCTGCAGGGCATGCAGTTTTTGTTTACCCTCATTTCTCGATCTCGTTGATAGTAGCGTCAGAACCTGTTTCATAGTGTATTTGATGGTGGCCGCCGATCTACGGTCATTACCATGGCACATCGTTGTCGGGGATTCCTCAACAGAAGGGAATCCGCGACAGCGATGTACGATGAATCTCTTTTGATTCGGTAGCTGGGATGGGGGGGGTCGTATTTCAGCCGAGAAAAATTTTTCGATGTTGATTCTTCATATTTCAGGGACGTTGTAGAGGGAGGAGGTTGTTTTTGCTCGTTATTGGGGGGGACCGTATTTCCCTTTTTACCGTCATCTAAGAGAGGTTGCTGAAGATTCGTGGGTTTTTTTCTGTTTCATACTGTACTGTACTACATACCCTCCTCTCCCCATTCGACAGCTTGATTAGGAGGGAATCAGAGGGGTCGCACCAATCCCCTTAAGAAGAGGAGTGTATGTAGTACAGTACAGTACTGACAAACAGTACAGACTCGACCGAAGTCCCCAACCAAGATGTGCCGTGATCATTACCCCTGCAAATGAGAAGGCATGTGAGGGGGTGCCAATTTGGACGCAGCACCTTGGGCCAAAAAAATGGTGGAAAAGTCCGCCCTGACTGCGCGCCAATCCACGCCCCTTCATAAGTCCTGTCGTCTGCAGCGATGAATGAGTATATATGAAGTAGATTTCCCTCGTGAATTATTATTCCGAGGGTAAAAATATGCTTGAACTTTGGTCCCTACGACCACTGATCCCCCTCTTTCCTCCATCCAATCAGCATTGTTCTCCACAACGCTTTCAGTGGAACCTCACTAATCACGTTCTGCAGTGTTTCTCAACATCAGAAAAATCAAGGTTACGGCTACTATCAGTCACGAAGCTAACAGATGGATAGCCCAGTCCGGTCTGGAAAAAAATTCCCCAAGATCCCGTTTTCCTTAATAGCACCTCTATTTCAGTGTGACCAAGTTCTTGTTTGTAAGCAGGAACGAAATATTTAAATCGCTTTTTCTGTTGAAGTGGAACCTTAGTCATTGTCGGCGAAACGAATACGATTTTCATCTTTCCATAATTAATTAAATTGTCACAGCTGTTTGTTTTTGAACAAAACCCTTTCAGTTATGGGTTGCAGTTAAACAATGTAATTAAAGCAGTTGGTTCGGCAATCCATTACATGAGACGAAGCAAGAATTCAGATTCTGAGTGCCTGTTGTGTTGGAGTGTGATATTGATGAGACGAACAAAGTAAAATTCCAAAAAAAGAAACCCAGGATGTTTCTAAAAGGCAATCGCTCCTCATCCTAGCGATTCAGTCGCGAAGTATGAACGAAGCCCAACACTTGATGCCTGCGAAAGTTCACAGTAACGGATGAAGGATAAGGTCTTTGCCGTTAATCACTTTTTTTACGATGCGGCACGAATCATCGAAATCAGTTCCTACTTCATTCCATTCAGAATCGCAGTGGCTTACTGGATGCGATGTAGCCTGTACAACGAATTGCGGTAGCCAGCCGGTGTACGAATCCCAGGGGGAGGGGGGGAAAAAAAGACATTTCGACCGAGTCACATATCAGCAAAGTTTTCGCAGCCCAGACAGAGGACGTGGATACGAGTACCAGGGCGGAAGATACCCAAGATGTTCCTCTATAAGCAGGAGCTGGCTCTCGCCCATCCTTCATGTACACCAAAATATGAAGTCATCTCCAGTCGCAGCCTGACTGGAGAAGACCTTTGGAATTCATGTCACCTCCAAACAGCTGCGAACTTCTAGTGTGGAGTCACCCATGGATAGCTACCTGGAGACCAGTACTCTCAATCTGGAAGACCTCCAACATCGAGCAGCTCCGACAACGTCGCTACGGTCTAGGACATCATCTTCAGCACAGTCAACAAGGCGCGGGTTGATGGTATGGACGGGACGTACCTGAAATGGAAAGGCCAATCTTTTCTTCGTGGACCCTAG